GACTGGGGAAATCAGGATGGGTGTGTCAGAGGCAGTGCAAATGGCACAGGATAAAGCAGGGTTTAGGGCTGTTGTACACAGGATCGCTATGAGTCGCAAGCGACTCAATGGCACATAACAACAACAACATCCATGGACAACTAACCTTTGATAAAGACACGAAATCTACTAAATGGGGAAAAGATAGATGGAAAAATTTGGTATCTATTTGAAAGAAATGGACACAAAACCCATACAGCACACCATATACAAAAATTAATTCAAGGTGGATAAAATACCTAGGTGTAAAACTTAAAGCTATAAAGATAATGAAAGGGGGAAAAAAAGATTGAGGCAAACTTAGGAGTCCTAATCTATGGCATAAATAGACTAATCAAATAGAAATTAAAATGAACAATCAGCAAAGATCAATGGAATCTTCTAAAAATGAAATCTTAATGTTTATAAAAAAACTTCTCTCATCACCCGAACAGATATATGCACACCCATATACTGCTGCATTGATTCACGATAGTTAAGAGATGGAGCCAACCCAAGTGCCTATCAACAAATGAATGGGTAGAAAAACTATGGAATACTATAGAATACTACACACCAATGAAAAACAAGAAACTCATAAAATATTACACAATATGGGTGACCCTGGAGGACAATATGCTGAGTTACAAAGGACAAATTATCTCAGTCACAAAAGGACAAATACTGTATACTATCACTGTTATAAAACATGACTGACATTGGGGTTTGGAGGAAACTAAGAAAAGTATATAAATGACAGTGCATTAGAACAGATGAAGGAAAGAATTGTTTAAAAGAAATATATGATTAGGCATTACTCATATGACAACAGTCCAGAATAAAAGATGCATATAATAAAGTGGACTGGGGGAGTGATGGAAGGGGAAGGAGGAAATTATGCAACAATGAATGAATATATCTATCTTTTTTTAAAAAAAGCTAATGGGGGTAGGTATGGAGGAAAATGTGCAACAATAAATGAATGAAAATCCAACTTTTCTGTAAACTTTGGCTAAAATCACAAAAAAAGAAAGAAAAATACAAACCAAAAAACCTTCTCTCAAACAGTAAAAAGAAAATCCAAAGAAGGGGAAAAAATATTTGGCAATGAAAGATCTGACGAGAACTATCTTTAAAATTTATAGAAAATTTGTCTTCCTCTCCATGAACAGGGCACATCTTTCCATTTTTTAATGTCTTTTATTGTGTCTTTCAGAAATGCTCTGTAGTTAAAGTTGTCTTTGAAAATTCGAATACCTCAACAAAAACAACAGAAAAAGACAACTCAATCACTAAATGGGCAGAGGACACAAAATGGCACTTTTACCAAAGAAGATAGTCAGATGGCAAATACATGAGGAAATAATCAAGATCATTAGCTGTTACAGAGATGCAAATCAAAACAACAATATCAACTCACCCCAGAAAAAAAAAAAGCAAAGTTCAATAAGAGAGCAAACAACAAATGCTGGCAAGACTGTAGAGATTAGAACTATTGGTGGGACTTTCCCTGATGAAAGCTGTTTAGAGCCTTAGAAAGCTGGGAAGAGAAATACCATTTGACCTAGCAATCCTACTAATTAGGTATAATATTCCAGGGAAGTGTGAATTGCCACATGAGCAGATACATGCACACTCATGTACACTGTAGCATTACTGTTAATCCTAAAGAGATGAAAGCAACTAGCTATCCATAAATAAGCAAATGGATAAAACAACTATAGTTAAGCTCAGACTCTGGAGTACTATGCAACACTACAAAAAAGATTCATTAAACACTGCATAACATGGATGCATCTAAAGGTTATTATACTAAGTCAATCACAAAAGACCAATATTATTTAAGAACAGGATTTAAAAAAGCTAACGGAAGGTATATACACAGATAGAATTACTCTATGATAGAACAGAAATTCTATCATTAGGGATAGGAAGAGGGGAACAGGGACGCAAAGTCTAGTAAAACAGATGACAGGCACAAATTAAAGTAGGTGAAGGGAAATGCAATATTCAATAAGGGAATGGTCAGCATAGTATTACTAAATAAAGGGAAGACAGAGCGATGTATAGAAGGTTTAATAGAAATTAGACTAAGAAGGAATTGGGGAAAGTGAGATTACATTGTGAATACTGAAATTAATGTTATTGAACAAAACGTGTATAAATGGTGGAATGAAAAATTTGATTTGCAAACTTTCACTCAGATCACAATTAAAACTACGTTTTTAAAAAGGAGGAGTTCTCAAAATAAGAACCGGACAAATCTGAAGGACATTTTGCTAAGTATGGTCCCAGTACTACAAAACAAAATTGTGAAGAGTGTACACCAAGGATGTGCCTTGTCTCCATACCTTTTCAATCTATGTGGAACAAATTATCCAGGAGGCTAGGCTCGATGAGGAGAAATGTGGCATCATATTGGAAGAAGATTCATCAACAATCTGGGTTATGCAGATGACACAACCCTGCTTGCTGAGGAGGTCAAGGACTGCAGTCTTCAATATGAATTGAAGCTCAATATCAAGAAAACAAAGATTCTCAACACTGGGCATCAGGATGGATGGTGAAAAGATTGAGACTGTTAACAGCTTCAGTTTGCTACAATCAACAATCTTGGTACTAGCAGCCAGGAAATAAAAAGACGAATTGCCTGGGAAAGTCTGCTGTCAGAGACTTCTCCAAAGTACTGAAGAGCAACAAAGTTAGTCTGAAGACTAAGGTGTGCCTGACCCAGGCCATAGTCTTTGCAATTACTTGCTATGCATCAGAACACTGGACAATGACTAGGGATGATAGGAGAATTGATGCCTTTGAGCTGTGGTGCTAGAGAAGAGTATTGAATATACCACAGAATGCATAGTTTTCCCTAGAGAGGGTGAAGCCAGGCTGCTCCTTGGAGGCAAGGATTCTAAAGCTTCGTCTGCTGTACTTTGGACATGCTGCCAACATGGGATCAGCCCTTGGAGAGGGATGTCATGTTTGGGAGGGTGGAGGGACAGCGCAAGAGAGGAAGATCTCTCTTGAGATGAGATGCATTGATTCAGTGACTGGGATAATGGGGTAGGTGTAACAAAGACAGTAAGACTGGCACAAAATAGAGCAAGGTTTAGGGCTGTTGTACAAAAGGTCACTATGAGACTTAGGCGACTCTATGGCACATGAAAACAACTACAAAACAAGTAAAAAACAAACATATATCTAATAAACAAAGTTCTTAGATGGTTACCAGAAATGGGAGGGGACAAGAAACAACACTTCCTATACAGCATATATTTTTAGTGAGGGGGGGAAAAGACAATACAAAATATGAGAGACATGTGCACAACTCACCAAGTAAAGGAAGGCACTAAGAAATGTACACAAAAAAGGGACCAATTTTGGTAAACTGCAATATATACAATTTTACAATAGGAATAACCACAAAAAACCTCCAAACATGTGTTTATCTATGTGCTTACATAGGTAATTATGTACTCATATATATGTATAGGAAAGCATATACAAGTAAATGCATGAGCATATCTCTCTCTCTCTCTCATAAAAATACATACATGTGGGGGGAGGGGTTGTAAAACAAAGAATTTTTCTTTTACTTTTCCAAGAGGGGAGTGTACTTGGGGGTGAAGTTTAGGAGGGGCGAAAAGTGCAACAATGAATGAACGAAAATCCAAAGTCTCTGTAAATTTTCATTGAAATTAATAATAATAAATAACAACAACAAATGGGCTGTACATATATCCATATATATAAAATAAGACACACAGAAATTATGGAACTTCACAGGTATATCCAACCAAACTGTAGGATTAGCATACTGAGTTAAAAGTTATGGTATAACCTAATCAACTGGGATAACACAGTTTATAAAAGTTTACAAAAATAGTATTCTACATTTTAGTTTGGTGAATAATGTATGAGGTCTTAAAAAACTTGTGACAGGCATTTAAGAGACGATTATTGTTATGTTAAGGGAAGTATCTCAGTCACAAAAGGGGAAAAACTGCATAGCACAGCTGTTCTAAAATAGGGCAGACATGGGGGAGGTTGGAGAGGGAATGGGGAAAGGATGGAGAGATGATAATTAACATTGCATTCATTGGAACTGATAAGGGGAAGAACTATTTGAAAGGAATATATGACTATACATTACAAGTATGAGAACAGTTTGGAACAATGGGGACATTGTGGGCGGAGGCTAGGGGAGAGGGAGGGAAAGGGGAAGAAAATAATGCAATAGTGAATTAAAAAAAAAAGAGAGAGAGTTGACTATTGATCTTTACCCTTCTGGAGAAAAGAGAATGAAAGGAACTGGAACTAGCAGCACACAAAAACCATGGACTCTTCTAACCTGAGGCTGGAAGTACTAGATGGTACCCAGATACTAACTGTTCTGATCAGTAACACAATAAAAGTTTACAAGTAGAAGAAAAGGAAATGGTAGAAAAAAATATCAAGTTTCTACAAAAAAAAAAAAAGCAGCAAGACATACTGGACTGATAGAGACTAGAGGAAACCTATGAGACAGTAATTTTAAGATACCCTTTGAACTTGGGACTGAAGTTATTTATAGAGGTCATACTTCAGCCAAAATATTGTTTATAAAATAAACAGTATCAAAACTGAATAATGTCCTCCCTCAAAAAATTCAACTACATGAGACCAAATGATCAATATTTATCCAAAAGCAAAGGAGAGATGGCAAGAAGGGACAGTGACACTAGATCAATGAAAACAGAACAAACAGAATAGAAATGAGAATGCTGGTAACACTGCCAAAACTGTAACCAATGTCATGGAACAATATGTATAAAAACTGTTGAATGGGCACCTAATTTGTTGTATAAACATTCACCTAAAATACCAGAAGTTTTGAGGGGTTTTTTTTTTAGAAAGAAGGTTCTAGGAATCAAGTAGTAAGATCCTTTACTTTCCAAATGCCCTCATTTCTACCTCATCAAGATGATCTGTACCTGGCTTTTCTTGCTGAAGAGCTGCCAGCCATTGGTGTCAAACACTTCCCTTTTCTTGTCAAAGCTTTCTTGCTTTAGGTATTGCCTAAAGGTATTGAAAAAAGAACAAGATGAGGTATGGAGAAATCTGATGACAGCTGCCACCCTAAAAATAAGGTTGACAATATCATGAGCTGAGCCTGCCTCTTACTGCATCCATACTTGAAGACATCCTGTTCACTCAAAAGAAACATGACGGCTGAGTCTAATACTGAAGCTTCCGCTACCTTCTATTCCTCCTGAGAAACATGTTTTTCATTTCCCCTCTCCTTGGTTTATATGGTCCTTTAGAACTCAATCTAATCTATAATGTTTTTCTACCAATACTGACATAGTTATTTACTATTGTGAGGCTTGATTCTTCTTTATGAAAATTCAATCTAACTCAGTATTTTATAGAATGTATTAATCATACAGAATGCTTTGCACCTAGACAATAGATACAAACTATTCACTATTCTGCAATATCCTTGGCCACCAAAGTGGTACAGTAAGGTACAGGTATTTAGACAGAGAAAAGAGATTGGGTGTAAATAGATTTACATTCTGACTCCTTTTTGAGCCATTAGTAAGTAGGATCTGAGCAAATCAAATCACTTCTGTGGGTTTTTGTTTCTTCATCTAAAAAACTGGGTTGAATCAGATGGATTATTTATAGTTTCTCCACATTGCTCCCAGATGAATACTATTTTTGGTATTATTATGCTATTACATTTACTTAGATTTAAAACATGCTTTTTTCTTTAGAATAAGGACTTTCTCTATTAATCACTTTATTGTAGGTATCAGCAACTGAGTTCAAAAGTTGAAAAAGCATAACATATATCTGACACCAAATCTGTCTGTCTTCAACTTTTTACTTACAAGAGTATCTTGCAGGCTTCATTGTTTATCCCTCCCATAGAATCATAATAGGTAATATTTTTCTTTCTAAAGTCCACGACCTGGAAAAAAGACAAAAACAAAAAAAAAAAATACCACGTGTTTATCAATGAAAAAAAAATTAGGTTTCTCATCTGTTTCCTTCCTTGATCGCTGGAGTATTTTGCTAGATTTCCCAGGAAATCATGAGTTTGTTTCTACTTTACATGAAATCATGCTAACCTTCAGATAAGAGAAGAACAGGGGATTATTTACATAGGATTATGGAAGAGGTTGATCAACTAGAAGACTCAATATCAGTTTTCTAGATAATCTAAGTTAAATGAGATAATCTCCAAACAGTTCTGAAAGATGATGAAAAGATTCTAGGTTTTGTTTCTTTACCTTGAGAATTTCCTTCAGACTGTGTAATTTTCAAATGTAATTCAAAACAGACTGTAAAATAATTTTTACAGCCATGCAAAAAATATTAAGATACCAAGTGTGCAAGACAAGTCATAATTAGGCAGAAAATAATAATCAAAATAATAACAACAATAATCAGTAATTTGAATTGATAGCATCATTAAGAAACCACCTTTTCTCCCTTGCCTTGCCTGGACACTGGTTCAACTTCCTACCTCTCTTTAACATTTTTTCCAGAAAGGAAAATTCCACAGCTTTATTCAAAGTCTAAGTATCTCCAATTCTTGACATGATGTTCACTGATACATCCAATTTTATGCAATATACTACTGCACAGGGACTTCCGGTGGCATAGTGGCAAGAAGCTGCACTGCAATCCTGAAAGTATGTGGCTTGAGGTCACTAGCTGCTCCATGGGAGAAGGATAGGCAATCTCCTCCAGTGTGATTAACTGCCTCTGAAAACCCAATGGAGGGTAAGCTATGGGTCAGTTCCGACTCTACAGTACACAACAACAACAACATACTATCGCACACACTATTACTTTCTCTTAATCCTCAAGTGAAGATGTAGAACTACCATGCTTGATTCTCTGGGCATTCTAGAATTACATGTTTTTCTTTTAAATTTTATCATACATAAAAAAAAGAGTTACTCACAGCTAAACACCAGTGTACCCCCAGGTGAATGGGCACCAAGAGAATGTCAACTGAAAATATGTCCACTTTCTTTGTCCAACGCTTCACAGCCTGATAGCCAGCTGTTTTTAACTTTGTGAAGAAAAAGGTATTAAATGCATGCACACTGGGCAGTCCCTTTTCTTTACTTCGCTCCATCAGCATATTCATGTAGAAATTGATGATCTGTGGGAAGAAATTTTATGTATTAGAATAGCTACTCAGGCCTTTCAGCAAAGCTATACAGCATGGGAGAGAAAGCAATTGTAGTGAATAGCATATGCTATTGTTTCTTATTCAATTATTTGTAAAATGTCCAATAGCTTCATGCCCTATATAAAATTCTGACTAGCAGGAAGGTTGAGGTAGTATAGTTACAAAAAGTGAAAAGAAGAAAAACTAGTGTTTATGTGTGTGTCTATGTACATATAACCCAATGCTTCTTTTTTCCCACTGTAAATACACACATAGATTCATACATATACACACACTACAAAATGAGGTTTAGGGCGAATGACAGGCAGATGAAGTAAAAAAATAGAGAATGGGGAGAAAGCATTTTTAGAAGGTAGACTTAGGGAAAAGGAAAGAAAGAACTGCAAGCAGATTAATGTTAGAATTGTGTGAAAAAATGAAATAGATCCTACACTCAGTTTGTTAGAGCCTATCATTAATGAAGCAGAGGTCAAGAGTTCAGTCTTTATATGTAGGTCATCTAGTTTTGTATGAGAAAATTCTTGTTCATGGCTAAAGACTGCCTATTTAGCCTAATAAGATGGCTTATAAAGGCAGACTGTTTTGTTCTCAAGTAGAAATAAGTGACAGTACCTATGAGCTGTAGAAAAAACATCTCTAAGCTAACAACAGTTTTTAGGGTTTTTTTAGTTAAGCTATTAAACCTGAAGCATTTGCTGCAGAAGGTCAAGGACTATAATCTTCAAAATGGATTGAGGCTCAAAATCAAGAAGACAAAGATTCTCCCCACTAGGCCAACTGTCAGAACCATGATAGAGGGAAGATTGAGATTGTTAACACGTTGCCACACACTTTTAAAATTGACGACCGGGCTTAGAAACACATTTGCCGTCATTTGCGACAACGTGTTAATAATTTCAGCTTTCAGATTGCTCCACAATCAACATTCTTGGCACCCACAGTAAGGAAATCAAAAGACAAATTGCACTGGGGAAGTCTTCTTGCAGGGACCTCTCCAAAATACTAAAGAGTAATGATATCAGTCTAGGGACCAAGGCGTGCCTGATCCAGGTCAGGTCTTTGCAATTACTTGGTATGCATCAGAGAGCTGGACAATGAATAAGGATGCCAGAAGAAGAATTCATGCCTTTGAGTTGTGGTGCTGGAAAGAGTATTGAATATACCACAGACAGTCAAGAAAACATATAGGTCTGTCTTAGAGAGGGTGAAACCAAGTTTCTCCTTGAAGGTAAAGATTTTGAAGTTCCATCTCACATACTCTGGGCATGTGGCCAGGAAGGACCAGTCTTTGGAGAAGGACATCATGCTTGGAAGAGTGGAGGGATAGCACAGTAGAGTAAAACTCTGGATGACACAGTAACTGGGGTAATGGAGGGAGGTGTGTCTGAGTCAGTGAGACTGACCCAGGATAGGGCAGTGTTCAGAGTTTTTGTACACAGGGTCGCTATAAGTCACAGGTGACTCAATGGCACATAACAACAACAAAAACAAGACTAACTGAGCAATGATACCTTTATAGAGGTGGACAGGGATGCAGTATATAAAAACCTATGTTAGTACATGAGATGATGATCCCTTCTGGAATCTCTATGATTAGCTTTCTCAACTATGTTGATTCCATTTATACCTTCAGTATCAAAGTATTAAGTGAAAGATATTAAAATATCTGATAGAGGAGACAGGTGATTCTTTTTGTTAACAAAACAATATCTTCTTTAATAGTGACTATGTCATTGACAGTTCCTTTAATTCTAGGACTCTTGGTACTAAAATTTAAAAGTTATTGTGTCAGAAGTTGCTCCATACTTCATTTATGTGGCTAACTGAGGCCAGGCAGAGTGTCTGTCGACTGCAAGGAATGAATGGGCTAACTGATCTACAGCTTGGAAATATGACTAAGAAAACAGGCACATTTTTCAGAATGCTTTTTGGGGAATGGGAAAACGCCCCTGTCCTTTGACAAATATTTACACACCAAGATGCCAGAGCAATGAGCTACTGCCCAACAGTAGGCAAACTACATACTGGGTAGGCAGCAAGGAACACTGCCAGGAACACACCAGAGCATGGTTTAGACTAGAGAAAAGGCCTACAGATGAGGATGTGAGGCAGCTACAGGGAAACCATACTCACCATGAAGTAAAATTCTGATGTAGGAGTGGTTAGGACTGAAGACACTGGTCTGTATGTAGCTCTGAGGAGGAAACAACTGCAGACCCAGCTAACCTAGAGGACTGAAGCTGTAGCTAATTTTCTGTCTAATGTGATGCACAATAGATCACTAGAGATCATCTGATTTAAATGAGAATTAATTGAGGCACAACTGGAACTGTATGGAGTCTAAATGCCTCATATCTAGGTTTCCAATCTAACTCTGAAACTGAGGATAGTGACGAGCCAGATCCAAGAAGGCAGCTGCGTTGCAGGAGGATCTACTAATAAAATTAGATTTCTACAATGCAAATTAAACTTTCCAGTGAGAGAAAATGCGCAAGTAACAATTGATTCATCTGGTATTTTACCTATAGTATCAGCCAATGTTACAAGTTTACATAAATATAATAAGCAACAAAGACAAAGGACATAAGGAGGTGAGAGGAATCCACCCAGTAGCTAAGGACAGCCAAACACATAAAATTAATGGAAAAAGGTGCTTGTCAGAGAGATGGCACCTCTGGGTTCATTAAACTAATGCTCTGTATGGCTTTTTTAAAATAAAAGGATGACATAAATAAGTATCATGTTGCACTGTAATTTTAGGAGAAAAAAAATTCTAGAAACCAATAAAGTTTATTAGCAGGATTTACAGACTGAAGATATTTTGGTTGTGGTTTTTCCCCTCTAATATACTGAGAAGGAGGCTCTTTTAAAAAGATCAACACATGTAAACAAGAGCAGAGACTTAGCAATAGAACACCATACTGTCTGTTTCCTTGGAGAATCAACTTTTCTATTGATTTAGTCTTGTCTCCTACCAAGGTTTTTCTACTAATAGGAAAATGGCCCTTTGCAAAATCAACTGTTTAATTTGCTCTATTTAGTGATTTTCACAGAATCCAGGTAACAGAGGATACTATCTGAGGCTGACTTTAGATTCACATTTTTCTCCTCAGTTTTTTACCTATTACTCTGACAAAGATGAATTCTGATGTAGTAAAGCCAAGATGTAATCATTTTTTTTTAAAAGGCAAGACATTAGTAAGAACCTGAGAACTGTAGCAACAACATAACAATTCCACATGTCATCTCCTAGAGAAAGGGAAATAATGATAAAAGACCACTGTGTTCAAGGTGAAAGAGAAGCAGTGATGGTCCAAGCATATACTATTATTTTGTGAGGAACAAGGTCCTTCCCTACATGGTGAGAACTCTTTGTGTACAAAAGACCTTTTAGTTCCAGCAGATTCAAAACTCCTTGCTAAACATAGCAGACCACCCTTGTCCACAGTGTTTTGCAAAGGTATCACTATCCTAGGGCTACTGGCAGCATTGGTTCACCTGTTACTGTCCTGGGGCCTACACTGCTTCTGTTTGCCTGCTGTGGCTCCTGGTGCCTATGGGAGCTGCCCTTCCTGCTGCCTCATGGCCTTGGTGACGAGCGCCTGCTTGTCTATGCAAAACTGTTTGGGGAGGGAAAAGGAGGGGTATATGGGTTTGTTTATAGTGTCATGTTCCTTTGTGATTTTATGTGAAGAGTTGCCAGGCTGAAGCTGGAAAAAAGTCTCGCTTAAAAAAAGCCTACAATATTTTACAACTAAGGACTCAATCCTCTTCCTGTATGCTACCACAATGACACAAATGACCACTGCTATTTCTATCTTTCTTCTTGCCCACTAAGCTAACCACACTATTGTTCTATCATGTATTTAGGAGTAAACATTCACTAACACTGAATTCTTCATTTTTAAAAAAAATTTTATTATTTTTGTGTGAGTGTACCGTCAAATCAGATCTGACTGGTACAGGAGGAGATTGTCCCTCCTTCCCTGGCAGAGCATCTGGTGGATTTGAACCGTGCACCTCTGGGATTGTAGTTGCAGCTCCTTGCCACTAGGCCACCAGAGCTCCCCTGAATTCTTCATTTTTAACCTTTCTCATATTTATACTCTGAACTTTTCCAATATGTTTCTAAAATGTTCTAAAAGTTCTGGGTTTTCTTGTGCTCCTGAGCAGAAACCAAACAACTAACTATTAGGGGGAAAGTACTTCTAATTTTATCTTCCTAAATTTTATCCCTATTCTCAATTCTGATTTTTAAATGAAATTTACCCTTACCAACTCCAAAGACAAACAGACCACCCAAGTAATATTCAAGTTGTTGTTGTTGTTATGTGCTATAGAGTCACCAGCAATTCATAGCGACGCTATGTACAACAGCCCTAAACCCTGCTCTATCCTGTGCCAACCTTATTATCTCTGACACACCTACTCCTGTTACCCCAGTCACTGAATCAATCCATCTCACTGAGGGTCTTCCTGTCCTGTGCTGTCCCTACACCCTCCCAAGCATGAGGTCCCTCTCTAAGGAATGGTCACTCCCTGCAACAGGTTCAAAGTATGTCAGATGAAGCTTCAGAATCCTTGCCTCCAAGGAGCAGCTGATTTAACCCTCTCCAGGACAAACCTGTTCATTCTTGTAGCAGTCTATGGTCTATTTAATACTCTTCTCCAACACTACAATACAAAGGCATTAATTTTCCTTCTATTATCCAGTCATTGTCCAGCAGCTCTCTGACACAGATCAAGTGATTGCAAGACCATGGCCTGTATTAGTCTCCAGACTGACATCAATGTTCTTCAGTACTTTGGAGAGGTCTCTGACAGCAGACTTTCCCAACACAACTCGTCTTTTAATTTCCTGGCTGCTAGTACCAAGAGGTTTAGAAGGGGTCATGGTACTAGGGATATTGTAGCTGATGTTAGATGGATCTTAGATGAAAGCAGGGAATACCAGAATAATGTCTATCTGT